AACCCCTCCGCTATGGGCTGCACCATCCGGAGTTCCGCACTTGCCTGTGTGGCACCTGTCAGTATTAAATTGTTATTCAAGTGAGAGATGATAAAATATGTTTTTGTGATGTAAGGAATATATATACAATGCAGAATAATGTTAACCTTTCACTGTGTGTGATTCCTGCATAATACGTTTGCAATGTGCTGGTGATTGCTGGATCCCATATAGCATTCATTATTTTGATACCTTACATGGATTTGACCAAGTCAAATTTCAGAAATGTGTGTGTGGACTAAATCTCATTTCTTTTCTCATTCTGTGTTTCTAGGCTGGCACTGTGAAGCTGACCAAGCCGGTGGCTTTGTGGACCCAACAGGATGTCTGCAAGTGGTTGAAGAAACATTGCCCGAATCAGTATCAAATCTACAGTGAGTCATTCAAACAGCATGACATAACTGGTAAAGTATGCAGTATCAGAAATATTTTACTTACTTAAAATGGGGCAAATTGTGTTTTGCATTGTTGTTTAGATTAAGACTGTATATAAGGGCTTCTGTTAGTTGTAGGCCTGAAGAGTTGTTTGGAGCAGTGGGAATATAGTAGCTTGCATTGACTGTGGTGAATAGGTGATTCTTCACATTTCTAAAAAAATAAATTTCAGATTATTCAAGGTTAATATAATGAGGAAAGAAGAAGACAAGCATGTATGTGAATAAGAGTTGGACCCTGAGGACTGTCCATTCTTGTGTTTGCAGCTTGCACTGTTAAAAACTGGAATTCACTTTTGAAATATTCATTCCAAATCAAAATAAAAGCCAAAACATTAAGAAGAGTCTTGTGAGGAAAAATGTAAATGAGGATGGGTTTTTTTTTCACTTTTTTGAGCTATTTCACCTTGAGGAGGTCAGATTCTCTTTTGAGATTTTTCTTGTTTTTAATTCAGCTTAAAATCCTTGACATGTAGGATGCGAAGGAAGCCCAGCTGAGCTCCTCCCTAGGGGTGAAGCAGGATCAACGTATCAAACTCATTTCTGACGGATATTTGTCTAACTTGTTATAAAAAATTTGCAGTGGAGATTTTTACATCTCTATATCCAGTGCCTTATGATCCTTAAAGTTAGTATTTTCCTCATGTCGATCTAAACTGTTATTTCCTGCCAGTGAAGCTGATTTTTGTCCCATGTGTAGCTGGAGTACAGACCATCATCTTTCTTGCAGCCTTATCTGTATTGGAAGGAGGTCATCCCACTCGCACATGCTTTCCTTCTCTAGTCTAAAAAAATATTTCTTCTTTCTGTTACAATTTGTCCCCTAAATACCCTCAAGACCTACAAACCCTCAAAACTCGATTTCTTGTCTTAGAGTAATACATTAAACAATATTAATGTATTGTATCTTCCCATTTAGTTCAGAAGCTAATATTGATTTTCTTGAGCTAGTTAACTTGTTAACTCCTTCTCAGTTTGCTGTAGTAGTATTTTAGCTGGCCGCTTTGAAGTGACATCAATTTGGTTAAGTAACTGGGTTAATATAAACATAAATGTAATTTGGGAGTTAAACAGCATTTTTACCTACATCCCAGGCATTAATTAATCTGTTAAAAGTTTAATGTGAAACACTAATTTATTCTCTGAAGCAATGGTGTGCAACCCGGGGAACTGACATTCAGTCGTTTAATATCAAGCAGAGATTTCAGTTTTGCATACAAATCTCTCTCTTAACAATAATATGTTAACTAAAATATGTTTTAATCAATATCTGTTTGTATACGTGTGCTTGCAGTGTTTCAAATTTTCCATTAACTCCTGTTGCTGTTCATTCTTTTCTGATAATATATGAGTAATTGCCAGCATGGCAAACTAAACTACTGATCTTAATTCATTATGTAGCCATATATGTAAGTATATGCATGTATGTGTATACAAGATAAGTGCTTTGTGTTGGGTTAGTAAGAGTTGAGCTGAGCTTAACCATTGTGCTATTAACCATTATTTCCTCTAATTTATCATCTGTTTCTCAGTATCTTAAATGTAATCTATAAGACTGGGCTACATTTCTGTGTCTCCACCCATGTGTATAAAAGTGACTACCTCAAGCTACCAGAAAAAACTTGAAATTAAGATTTTTTTCACTTTTTCTGCTACTATGTTGCATGCTGTCTCTTTCTGAATTTAAAACACTGTGAGAAGAGGTTGAAAGGAATAAAACATTGTTTTCATTTTAATTTAAACACACATGGAAATCTATAGCTTCTTTGTAGATGTGCAAAGCTTGGAACTTTATAGACCTTTGTGAGAAGAGGGAATTAAGATAAATCTTTGCTACTTTACACAGAAGAGATGTAAGGAGAATATTAGTATAAGTGTTAGAAAGCAAGTCTGCAGTAAGGAAAATAGCTTCAATACAGTAACTACCAAAGAAAAGAACAAATGTGATCAATATTTGTAAAGACTTTTAGAAAGTATATTGTGAGTGTATTATGAATGAAATCAATAACTCGGGATGATGTTTACAGTGCTGTTGGTCCCTGTGATCTCAATTATTTGAAATCTAATAAAGTGGTAGAACAGTGGATTTGTGGCTCAAAAATGTAGACCATGAAAAGAGTAAGAAAACTGTTCTATCTAACTAGTATGAAGATTAAGCTGAGGTAGTGTAACTATTTCCAGTACACTTTAATATGGCTGTGGAAAAGTGATGTTATTGTTGAAAATTTCTCAGGAATGTAAATGACTTTACAAGCTGCTTTAATATGGAAAAATATGACGGAAATGAACTAACTGAAAATGACAAGAAAATGGTATTTAGCCCTTACTTGAAAATAAAAATCTAAGGCATGGTCATAAGCCAGGAAAATAGTCTTGGACAAACATACCTAGCAGCTTTTAACCATATGTGTTGAAAAGTCTGGCATTTTAAGCATCTGAGATAATAAACCACTGATTACAGTTGGCTGAGTTGGGGGCAAAAATCTAAAACCAAGTGTCCTTTCCTTTGTATAGATTTTTTTTTCTATAGAAGAAAGAAAAGAACCAGCTGTAGATGCGTAAGGAAGAGATGCTGGTGTACATAACAGAGGGAAAAAAAAAGAGCTTCATATTATCAGTGGCCTCAAAGAGTTCACAGGACAGAGTGCACTCTCATCAAGTTTGCAGGTGACACCAAATTGTGGGGAGCAGTCAATACACTTGTGGGCAGGGCTGCCAATTCCAAGGGACTTAAACAGGCTGGAGGAATGGCCCAATCTGAACCTTCTGAAACAAGGACACATGCCAAGTCCTGCAGCTGGGAAGGCAGAACCCCTTGCACCGATATAAGCTGGGGGCTGACTGCCTGGGGAGCAGCTTTCTTAAAAGGACCTAGGAGTCTTAAGAGATAACAAGATGAAGTGAGGTAGCAGTGGGCCTTGGTAGCAAAGAAGCTGAACAGAATCCTGGGCTGCGTTAACAGGAGCATAGACAGTAGATTAAGGGGAGTCCTTATTGCCCTTTTCTCTGCGCTTTTTAGATCACAGTTTTGGATCCCCAACACTGAAAAAACGTTGAAAATCTGGAGCAAGCTCAGCTGAGGGCTGCCAAGATGATCGGGGCTGGAGCACTTGCCCTGTGAGAAGGGCCTGAGGGAACTGGGCTTATTCAGCCTGGAGAAGTGGCTTTGTGGGGGCTTAACAGCAGCCCCCAGTATGTGCACAGATGTTATCAAGAAGATGGAGCCAGGCACAATGGTGCATGGTGGGAGAAAGACAGACAACAGGCATATAAACTGGAACAGGTGAGGTTAAGGCTGGGTATAGGCTTCAGACTGGATATAAGGAAAAACTTTTCACTATGGGGACAGTCAGGCAGTGGAGCAGGTTGCCTAGGAATGCTGTGCAATCTCTATCCTGGGAGAGTTTCAAGCACAAACTGGATAAAACCCAGAGCAACCTGCTCTAATCTTATAGTTGACCCTCGTTGGAGCAGGAGGTTAGGCCAGAGACCTCAGGAAGTCCCTTCTAGTCTGAATTATCCTGTGATCCTGAAATCTGATGGGTACTTGTTGAGTACTTCAGAACCAGTGAGATGCATTTTGCAGCCAGTTAGGGAGAATTATATCTGAAAAGGTCTAATAAGAAGTTGAGAGAGGGTTTGTTTTTTTTTTTTTTTTAATACACAAACTCCTTAAATTCAGTGAGTGGGGCGTCTGGTTAGGTTGAGTTACTCGGCAACAGCTAGGAGACCATTTTCACGGTGTTTAGCCCAAAGTCAACCAAAAGAATGTGAAGGACTAACACCGAGCGAGATCTGAGCACACTGGATGTGAAATACCATTGGTAGGAAAAATATGACCGTAAAAAAATGTGGGAATAAAGGTGGCAGTGGCTGTATAACCAAGAAAGCAATGTAGCAGTAGGACCTTGTCTCCAGAGGCTCTACAACTGCTGGTGACATTTACATTAGTGTGAGGGGGTATAAAATGTTGCTCCAGCTGGTCAGCTTTTTACATCCACTTTATACCAGTACAGTCCAAGCAGCAGGACTGAGGAACTGGCATCTGCTTTCAGTGGTTGGTTGTGGATTTGAATTTACCAGACAGCACCACTTTTTATTGGCAGGAGAATTCTTTTTGAGAGATGGGTTTTTCTTTGACGGTTTTATTCTCCACCATGGAAACAAATGAACATTTTTGCATTCAGCACCAGTAGGAGCAAGACTTGGCATAGAATGATGAAGGAATAACCATTTTGGGGAAAATGATCTATTGGAAAAAAATTAAATAAAGATGAGTATGTAAGTACTTGCTGGTGTATGATTTGTTGAAAGAAAGGGAGGAGAAGAAACCCTGCTTCATCTCTTGTTTTTACACCATGTTCCCCAGTGTGCTAATGCATGGCTTCAGAGCATGAGGCTTTAATGCTACGATCATTAAACAAACCTCATTCTGTCAAAGTAATACGCAAGAGATACCTTGGTCCGAGTGAAGGAATTTGATAGGAGGTACTTGAAAGGACTCAAGCCTTTTTAAATTAAACTTTTAAGGAGAAAAGGAACAGGTCTCAGGATAACCTTTTTTAGTTTTAGAAGGAACCAGAACTTATGAATATTCATTAAACACCAAACGGCATTTCAGAAAATGAACTATGTGAAAACCTGCTGCAAATAGCCTTAAAATCTGGCTAAGTCTCCGAAGATGCTTACACTGAATCACCTGTATTGCCTTATATGTTTATGAAATACATGTGCAAGTCTTGCTTTTAAATCTGAATCAGTTTAATTTGTTCACTTGATTAATATACTGGCAGAATATTGGGGGTATATCATATTGACTTAAATACCTAGGTTATGTAACATCTTGGTGAAAAGGTGGTCTTGCAGTTTAAGATACCATGCTGGAATTTAGAGAATTCCTGGCTCCGTTTCAGGTTACTCTTGTATCCCTATGCAACATATTGAATCCTCACTAAGTTACTCTTCCTTTT